ATCTAATCTAATCAATTAAAAATCAAAGTGCAGATTGTTATCCCTGAAGACTAAGATGGAATATCTTGTTACCAATAAAAAGGGTCTCCGGTTCTCTGCACTCACCATACGAAACAAAGCAGCATTATTCTGCCGTTTCACGCTGGTTTTCTAGCTAATATTTTCAAGGATATACTGCAATTTGTTGGGTTAGTTGTTTGTGAGAGCATAATACCGAGTACCACGAATACTAGAAGTGTAGTGTTACTACTAGTGATAACATGACAATATCACGTTAATAAATATATAGTAAGAATTTTATTTCAAAATTATATTTCAGTTATAATATACAAATGAAAATAATTCACATAATTTCAGGAAAAGAATCGGGAACAGTATTTATTATAGTTATGCTAACAGATTAAATAAAACTTATTTTAACGTAGTAAAATAAAATACTATTTAACGTGATACAATCAATACATTTAATTGAGAACACTATAATCCTTTATTCTCATATATCTTTCTTATTTAATGTACTTACTTGTGCATAATTCTTTGTTAAATAACGATAAATAAATAACAATTCGTATGTAATAATAATATAATTAGTTTGACAATCAAAAAACTGCCGCAATAGATAACTATTAGATTTTTATTATAGAAACGTGAAACTGATGAATCTCATTATTTGTTGTCACACATCCTTAGATGAAAGCTCTTATTGGTATTGGTTATATCAATAAAAATAGATCAAAAGTTGCCGTGTAAGAAAATCCACTACCCAAATCATACAGTGAGTGTCGTGAAAAACGACAGAGGAGAACCGAAACGTAAGTTGATCAGTAGCATTTTTTTAACAGTGGTAGAGCCACGCGGCAGCTTTTGCTGTCGCATGGATGGGCCGGCTCGAACCGGGGGGGCACCACGACCTCACAGAATACCAGCGTGAAGTAGAGGTTTACCTCTGCGTTTCGCTTGGTGAGTGCAGGTGGCCGGAGGCCCTTTTTACTGGAAATGAGGCATTCCATCTTAGTCCTCACGGGTGACAACGCATCTGCATTTTGATTTGTAATAGAGGATAGATGTAGCTGTCTATGGGCCGCAGCAACCACTTACCATCAGGTGGACTGTGTGCTTGTTTGTCAACCTTATCCTATAAAAAAAAAGCATCTTCCTGATAACGACTTATTAAAAATAAAAACTGTTGTTGTCAAGCGTGGCAACTATGGCAAATATCTCCTCTGTGGCACAATGTATAGGGGATGCCTGTCTATGTTCAGCAGCGGACTTGTGATGGGCTGTATTAAATGAAGTCATGACGACCTCAAACCGTAGATTTTATTTTATAAGTATCCTGATTAACTCTAAACAACATAATGTTTGGTATTAAATTAATTTATTTAATTGTATCAGTTTAAACTTATATTTGTGTAATAACTACCAAACAACATTTAACAAGTCATCACAGTCATCATGAATTAAAATTCTTAAGTATTCATCATAGTTATCAATATTCATGTCCTTATAATCATATTTTTCATAAAATATTACTTTTATTAGTAAACCTATCTTGCAGTTAGGTAAAAAGTACTATTCACCCTCTTCTAATCGACCATCGACCGTCAAAGGTCATTGCAAAGGTCAGGTATCAAAGCCTAACTTCTATTAGGTACATCGTAGACGTAAAAGTCGATAGTTGGCCTTCGATTACTCTGTGGACAGTATTTTGAACGTGCTCTGTATAATCTTAACCAGACGGCTTCAAGTTTTATTCCTCTAAATACGATAGCACTTATTTCAGTCCTGACTTTGGGCCAATTGAATTCGTAAGCCAACTGATGCCATCGCCAACTGGCAAGCTGTTTAGGTTTTAGATTTTCTTTTGTGTTGATTTTTAAAGTTCGTTTAACATTTCACGTATTTTAACGATTGACGGTATTACGCATTACACACATCAATATCGATTTTATAACAGACAGAAACCTATCAAATACAGCAATATTATGTGCGCAAAATAATTTTAATTTAGATTCTTCATAGTAATTTGTTGTTTAATAAATGATGTTTAAAATACTGTTTTTATTTTTCTTAAGTGCTTTGTGTCTAATGCAGCACTTGTCTTTTTGTACCTATTGTAAGCCAGTGCTTGTGTTCTAGCTCGTTTGTTATCCTAACTTCCATAAGAAGATAGATCATACTTTCGTTTTCTCGATGAATAAAATTTGCTGGAAGAAAATTTTTTATTACACTAAATTCTAATTTTTATTATTGTTTAAATTTCAAATTGGTAATCAAAACGCTATTTTTGATAATTCTAAAAATCGTATAACTGTAATTTAATTAGTTAATAGAGGTACCGCGTTATCAACAAATAATGAATTTGCATCAACCAACACTAATTAAATGACCGTGTGTAAAATTATTTCACAGTACATTATTTTATTATTTAGATTTTTTAATTTATATAACACTATGTATTCTACTGGCACCATAGGTTTTTTGCATATCAATGGGCACCATATAGTGTATAAGAAGTAGCTGCCCTGCATATAATCGAAATATTATTAATATTCTGTATTTCAAATAGAAATTTCTTGTTTCCTAACCTTTCCCTATGTTATTAAATTTAGTCTCTCGTGTAATATATTATGTATATACGGTTATTTTTCAAAGAGTAGCCAAATTTAATCTTAATTTCAAATATATAAATATTGATATACCGTTATTGCAGTTTTTGAAAATACCAGTAAACAAGGCCTTTACTTTTATTTGAAATTATCCGAATTGAATGTAATTTATGGGTAACAACGTTTATGCCTACCCATCTACCCTTACGAATGTGTGCGTGTGCAGCTTAATCTGTTAAAATAATGCATTACCACACATTTGGAGTTTAAAATATAAAAAGGACAGAATGTTTGAGATTTTTTCATTAAGTTTTCTTCACCATTTGCCTAAATTACTTATCCTGAACATTCTCTGCAAATTTGGCCGGTTGTTGCAAAATAATCCTGTATATTGAAAACATTAAAAGGGAATTTTAATGTACACGTGCATCAAACACACTTAAAATACCAAAAGCACATAGAATCATATATACCTGAATCACAGTAGAAATGCAAGGATAAATTATAGAAAACGTAAATACCTACAAAATATTCAAGTCATTACAGTAGATGTTAAAATCTTTTAAAAGCACAACACGTATAAGATGTCGGAAATGTTAGAACAGCGTTTATAGCTAAAAGGCAATGCACACTTTCTCCCCAATTATTCCGTTCACGTTAATTCAATATTGGTTTAGCACCGTTGTGGAGTGACGCACGAGCGCAAATGACCCACATCCTTCACCTTCAACCGACACCTATGTTTCCTTATCATTACGTAGAAGATGCGTTTTTGATTGTTAACTATAATGAACCTAATTGACACGGTTCGGAGATGAAAAAATTGCGGGCATTGAATTCTGGCGAAACTTCTTATTTACAAGATATAAAAATGTCACTCGTAGTCAGTTTTGCAGTTATAAAAAATTGTATGTGTTAAAATGTTTATGTGGTATTAGCATATTATGTATATTTTTATTATATTAAATGACTTAAATTTAATGAAAATATACATAATATGCTTGAACAGAAATGTCAATGTCCTAAAATTTATTTTTACCGTGTAGTGACGGCGTAATAGAGAATACACTACACCATACCATGACGTGACGGCCATTAGAGGCGACAGAGGAAAACAATAATTTGAATTAAAAAAAAATTTAAAACCTCCGAAACCAAAAGAGCTAATAATCTTGAAACGGTTGCACAGAATTTTTGAATAATAGCTAAGAACACTCGATGAAGTCGTCTTCCAACCAAAAACAACTAAATCAAAATTTCGTCCGTTTGGGCACTACGAGGCCACAGATAGACATACAGATACACAGGTTAACGTTAAACTTATAACCACTTATAACACTTCTCCGTTTTCGTCGATAGCTAAAACAGAGATGGACAGCAGCATCTTCCGATTAAGAGCTCCTAATAATAAAAACTGCAGTTGCTAACCTACCAGCAAAACGTGGCAACTAAGACAAATATCCCCTTTATGAAACATCCTTTTCAACAATGAGATCCTTTGTCCATTGATGGATTTTAACCCGCTATGCTATTTCAGTAGACTCTACCTTAGTAGAAGAAGTTAAGGCTTAATTTTTACCTCGTTAAAATCGACTGAAATAAATTTACAATCTTAAATGTGAATATGTTCTCTTATGGCAACGTGTCACACCTATGTTAAGCGATATTTAAATGAAATTAATATAATTGTTCTCTACGATTTATTATTATTTACATAATTTGACTAGTCCGTAAAGAAACCACCTGCGTTTTTTGGCGGGTTATCAATCCCTATACGTGCCTACGTTGTTTCTTACAAATTTGTAGGTCTTTCATATTAACCATATTTTTGTTATTCCCCATCCGATGAAGTTCGTGCAACTTATGAAGACGAAGAAGGTTTCTTTCTTTCTTTCTTTCTTAGTCCGTAAAGATTTACTGCTGAACATGGGCTTCTTTGTAGGATGAATTTGCTCGACAGAGAGATAGATAGATGATCATCTGATCATTTACCAGACGTCTTTTATTTTTAACGCTGCTCTCCGTAGGCGGTTTGGATTTTTTTACGCTTAGATCTTTCTGGAATATTTCGTAGTTAGCTCTTATGACACCCGAGGGAGGAAATATAATGATGGATTCGCTTTGACCTCCACTACACGGCTTTACGGCCTATAGTATAATACAAAACAATGGATAAATTCACGGTCATGATTATTTATATACGTATAATATTTTTACGGCATCTTATATTCTTTCTGGTAATGAAATATTATACACCTGTAAACTTTATAAGATGAAGAAGGTCAACTTTACCGCAGCGTGTCTGAGATATATATCTTTATTTATTTTGCCTTTTATTTGAATATTATAATACAAATATTTATTTTGATCGATTAATTTTCAGAGACCGTCATGATTGTGCCGACATTCAAAGCTCGCTCCACTTCACCAGGTACAGGCGTGCGAGTTGTGTTGTCATTGTATTTAATAATAACTCCGAATATTTCCGCTGCCTGTGAAATATTTTAAATATTTCCTAAACTGAAAATTCATTTGCAATCTTAAAAAATATTTTCCAACTTAATAATAAGTATCGTTATTTTTAAAATGTCTGCAATTCTAGAAAAAATCAGATTCTAAGTGTTCAATACGTGATCGCTTTGCTTATAGGTTCAGATTAAATGTTTAGGCCTTTTAATTAATTGTGACACACAAATGGATAATTACCGTGGATATAAAATCAATATTATTGATTTTATATCCACGAATACGAGTCCTGAACGACTCAGATGGAATACCGCATTAATAGTAACTATAACTACTAAAGTACTATTAGTAGAATGCCTTGTTGGTCTAGTGGTTGTAGTAGTGCGACTGCAGATCATGAGGTTCTGGGTTTGCATCCCGGATCGGGCCAAAAACAATTATTTATTGAGTTTTTCTGTCAAGAAATTCTCAGTAGCTGCCCGGCGACAGGAAGTTGGTGGTGTCTAACCCCTGTCCCTCGGAAAGCACGTAAAGCCGTTGGTCCTGCGCCTGATCTCTCTCCGGTTGTGTTTATTTACCGTCCCGATTATGAGAGTAAGGGAATAGAGAGTGCACCTGTGCTTGCGCATACACTTGGGCAATATAATCCTGTCCTGCGCTGATGGCTAGTTTCCGTTGAAGCTGGTGGCCATGACCGAAGTTCGGTCTGGAGGACATTATTAACTACTACAAGAAAAACCGAAGTATATGCATCCTCCTGGCTTTTTGTGAGAGTGTTGTAATTTTTCAACCTATTTATGTGCTGCCCTGAGATCATAAATATTATGATATGAATATGTGCTGCCAGTAACTAGTCGTAAAATTGTTATCGCTGTAGAAATCTGAAAACAAAACCTAACTACGAGTATGAAACTTAAAGAAGTCAAATAGAAAAGTCGATCAAATCCGTGCGAATTGTATAATAAACTAAAAATCCTAATTCCTACAGGAAACCGAAACTATTTAAAAAATACAGATTGCATTTGAATGTTCAGCATTAAATGAAAATGTCAGGCTGTGCAAATAGCAGAATAGATATTTACATGTGAATGGCATAAAACGTATCGACCTTGTTTTGTGTTTGTACAATACATGTTATTCACTAGAAACAGCTCGTAAATTGTTTTCGCTTTTTAGTATTTCATTAATAATTTCAAAGCATCCAAATGAAACTAACATTAGTTTGGAGTTTTCGTGGATTTTGTTTTAATAACTATTTGTGTGAATTTTGTTTTTGAAATGATTGTGAGTGTACTAATGAACTATGAAATGAATCCGATTATCTTATATTTAAATACAATAAATCAGAAATCAGGACACAGTGCAGTGTATCAGCCAAGTTCCGAAAATAAGGTAACGCACCAGCAGAGCTTGATTTGTTTTATGACAACACGAACCATTTCAAGCCACATTTGAACCCCTCACAACACAAACCTTTTTCATTTAATAAGCGAAGAAATAAGTTAAAAATTAAAAATTATTGATATTTGGTGTCATAAGGTTTTGACAAAGTTACTTTGTCAACAGTTAATTGTTTACGTTCTTTTATTAAAAACGTTACCCTCAGGCTAGGATTTGCGGTCACTAGGTATTGTGGAGGCTATAGGTGCATAAATTGCACAAGGACAAAGATACAGACGCGGAACAATTATTTATAAGCGACACAAATACTTGTTCCGTGCTGAATTCAAACCCGCAATTCAAAGCTAATCCACTGCGCCACCGAGCTGTCAAAGAATAATCAAAGGAAAAAAAAAGAAAAATTCAACAACGCGAAATGATCACGAACTATGATGATCCCAGTGCAATGTAATATAACCTAGTGGTCATATTTACGAAATTATTGTATTTCCATCGGTTCTTAATACGTCTACAGACTTAAGATTATTCAGACGTCTTGAAGTGGATGAAACTGAATTACTGAATACTTAGATACATATTGGTCAAGTCAAAATAAAACGTATAAAATAGATAGCAGTTAAGCGTAAGTGCAAGAAAGAACGTTGAAGGTCATGTATTTATTTAAATTAATAAAATAATAAATCTTTTTGGTTAAATAAGTGGATCCTGCCCTTTATATCCGAACTCTTATTGGAAAAGCCGATACCTCGAAAGTAGTTTGTACCGAATTTGCCCCCCTTTTCACCGTTATGCTTTGTAGGATTTATTTAGTCTGGTTTTACTATCAAGAAAATTATAAATTATTGTTATGAAAATGTAATTCATGTTTTTTTGATTCAATAAATATATGTAGCGTTCAATCTAAGTCCTTACAGAAAAGAACGCACGACTTATTCTCGTATCTTGATTTTTCATCCTAGCTGGATTAAAGTATCTTCAAACGAGCACAGTGTACTTGTTTGTCGGATTAAAAAGAGCTAAAACGCGCTCGTGTACCTTTACAGAAAATGTTTTAATTGGCTCTTATCTAACGATTGTTCCTATATTGCAAGATTTTAATTAACTTAATTTCTTTGTATGTCTTTCCAGTAGTTGTAATGAATTTTCGAAACAATTGCCGAGATACAATTGAGTTAAATTTTAGCATACTTGTATAATTTAGATGACAATTCAATAAATATTGATCTGATCTGACAATGGACCTGGATGCTGGCACTACCAACGCCTACAATAGCTTGCTTTAAATACATTGTATATTATATTATAATATTATACATTTATAATAGGTTTGTGAAAACCTAACGTATATTAGCGTTTTTTCTACGTTAAGGGGTCGTCAGAAATATATAATATTTGTTTATTTAATTTTTTCTGGCGGCGTTGAGTCATCAAGTGCATTTTTATCTAAACTTAAAAATCGTAATTAAATAATGTAAAATAATGTTCCTTAATGATTAAACCTAAAACACAATAAAGAAAAAATCTTTTTTCTGTTAATCCATCCATACCGTCTTAGAAAAAAAGAAGTTGTTATGTAAAGCTAGGATGCCGATAAAATCAAAGACTTAAGTTGTATTTTTTTAATAGGCCTTATCTATTACATGGGCTAAAAGTAAGTCGTCCTACTTCAATATATTTATTTACATAACATAATATAAAATATTTTATTATATATAATATTAAAAACAATAATAATAATTAAAAAAAACTAAAACTAGAAACTTAATTGTCATAATTAGTAGTACTCGTAGTCCTACTCCCCGCGGTATAATGCCTCTTGGCACGCTGGCTGCGTTTCCCCGCTGAATGGCTATACTTAGCTTTTGAGCGAGAAAAGAACCAGCCCTCTTATCACCAGTAGTGACAATTCAATTAAAGAGGAATATAACAGCCACTATAAGTCCCACAGCTGGGCACATATTTCTGCCAGAGTCAAAAGAATTATTTGTTCTTCTTCTTTATTTTCATCATCATCCTGTAAAAGACATGGGCTTCTCCCAATATAGCGGCGATTTGTATTAATCGTCACGGTTAGAAGGCAGATTGTCGAACGCAATACAGCACTTCTCGCACCTTTGACGTTGCTGCTCGTAGCCGGTCTAGGATATTCATGTCTGTTCTGACGTAGCAGATATGTTTATGCCACCATATATCGAAAGCCGTTAGATTTTTCTAGCGTTTCCCATAGTCACGTGCATCCCCAGGAAATAACGTTAACCCACGCGGCAAACAAATTATCGTTCTATTATCATTGAAGTTAGCATCGCAAGAAATCTTACGTATTTATAAATTACAGTAATTGTTATTTTATAAATTATAAATTGTTAGTTTATAAATTACAGTAATTGTGCTTGCGGATACACTTGTGTGCTATAATCCAGTCTTGCGCAGATGGTTAGTCTTCATAGAGGAGCTAGCAACCGTGATCGAAATTAGTACGGAAATTGTCGGCGTTTGGTGGAGTAAGTCAACAAAGTCTAATTCTCTCATCTTGGGAAATGCCTTGGTAGAGAAGATATAAAAAGGTATTTAGTACAGTTTTTAATATACCTATTAGAGTTTTGTCTTGCCTAGACGAAATCTATACAAATAAATAAAATTGAAGTGTCTGTTTGTAATAAAATAATAACTTTTTACTAAGTACATATGAAAGTATATACGGTACTTATAACAAAAACCCAATTTTTTAATGTTTTTGTCTGTCTGTCTGGCCGTCTTTCTGTCTGTCTGTTTATTCCGGCTAATCTCCGAAATGGCTGCACCGATTTTGAAGGTACTTTCACTGGCAGATATCTGATATGATATGGAGTAACCTAGGCTACTTTTATATTAGTAAAGAAGGTTCCGCGCAAAAAAAATTATAACCCATGAAATTCAATCATAAAAAATTACACGCGGGCGAAGTCGCAGGGAACAGCTAGTTTAATAATATAACGATATTATACAAGTACAAATTTTCACGTAACACGTGTTCTGTCGATACGAGTATGAAGGTGAGCGATTTTATTGACAACCGTTAGCGAGATCGTAAAACGATCTGGTTGTAAAGCGAACCTTAGAGGCTTTCAAGTTGTTGCTGATGTAGCGCTTCTCACGATAAACTATTAAACGATTGAACTGAACTGTGAAATTATAGATAAGGCTGAAACATTCATGTATTTCTAAGCCACATAATATATCTTGTTCTGCAAAATTTAGTGATTGGATTGTATGTTCTTGCTGAAATCATTCATTATCCAAGTGAACTGATTGTGAATTTTCAATTCTCTTCTAGTTTGTAATTATCATCATCATCATTACAGCCCATCACAAGTCCAATGCTGAACATAGGCCTCCCCCAAGGAATGCCACAAAGCACGATCCTGAGCCACCTGCATCCATCGACTTCCTGCATATCTTACCAGGTCGTCACTCCATCTAGTGGGGGGACGCCCTACACTTCGTCCGCCGGTATGAGGCCGCCACTTGAGAACCTTTTTTCCCCAACGGTTGTCGGTTCTTCGAGCTATATGGCCGGCTCATTGC